GAAGAGATTAAAAAAATATTAGAAATTGTACATATCTGTAATTAGTATCATTCTTTGATCTCAATCCAATAGAAAATGTTTTGAGAATCTTAAAACAGAGAATTAAAGCTTGTACAGTATTTCCAGACATAGTGGAGAGTATGAAAAAGGCAGTTAGAAAGGAATAGAATAAATTGGGACTGAGGGATTAGAATAAGTACATGGACAGTATGTCCTCTAGACTGTAGCAGGTGAAGGATAGGAGAGGGATGCAAACTGAATTTTAGGATTTTTTTATATTCTGCATACTGCTTCCTGATCTCTAATTGACAACATGCTTTATTTTTACCTCATGATAAATTGTAGTTGTTGAGTTATTAACGATACAATATTGTTGGCATAGTTGTCGGGGGGGAGGGTGTCAGCGAATTTTGAAGATTGCCTCATGCAGTGCAGGTTACAGGCAAGAAGCACTGTATCCGAACATGAGACAACGGTTATTTGTCTGTGCACCGTATGTTAGAAATGTCTCATGTTCGGACGACTCCTGCAGGTTACTTGTACTCGTACAGTACTTGTAAATTTACAGTGGGTCAGCACCGGTAGGACGGTATCGTGGTCTAATTACTCGGTTTAGGCCTGGGGTATCGTGGACTACTGTACTGCTGTAAAAGCACTAAACTGCACAAGTACAGTACCGGCTATCTCCATTTCCTCGTCGTCGTAGAATGGGAACCCCCCCTCTGCCCTCCCTCTTCATTCCTCTCCCCCCCAGTGATCCGACATAAGGGACAAAAGAAAAAAAGAAAAAAAGTACCATAATCATCATAGCAGGCAGCAACCCTATGCGTCACATACCCAATGTGTCGAATCCCATGGCATCGCATCATCTAGAGTGAAGGGGAAGAATCATTTCCAAAAAGTTCCATCTTCCTATGGTACGAGCACTGTACAGTGCAGTACAGTACAGTACAGCACGTACACCTCAAGACGAGTGAGTACACGAACTCTGACGCACGCCCGCAGCGAGTGCGGGAAACTGATCACTCGGTTCCCATACTCATCCATGGCCGGTACCTGTTTGAAATTGTACAGTACTGCACAGTACTGTGCTACACCATGCCATTGTTCAGCGACTCAACATGACTTGAACCTCACGGGGCCTATCACATCCAAAAGACCGGTCTGGCCCCCCCCCCCTCCCCCCCCGGGACTAGAAACAAAGTACCTTATTTATCATAGCACGTATCACGGTAACACGCACCGTAGATATAACACCCGCAACCCCTGATACGATGCGACAACTTGCACTCGGGAAAACACAGTGCAGTGTCACACTACAAGTATACAAGTCAGTAAGTGAGTAAGCGAGACAAAGGGAGCAACGACAACAAGTGTCATAGTTCCCGTGACCTGCCACCACCACCACCACCGCAGAGTACAGTACTCGTACATAGCCAACGCGTACGACGAAAACGGGAGTCTACGGCAGACGGGGGGAGTCTTCGGTACTTGTACACCAAACTCCCCGGACGGAGATCCCAGCCAAAGTGCCGAGACCTCGGAAGAAAGCTCCACGTACCAAGACATGCCAATCCAACTTACGTGTTCCGTCCGTCGTGGGGGAAAAAGAACCTGCACTTTATCTTTTTCATTCCCTTCGGAGGAGGAGGAGGAGGAGGAGGAAGGAGGGAGTGCCACAGTACTTACCGTACTCTACAGTACCCGATCAAAATTTTCATGTCGGGAAATGTACTGTACCGTACTGACCGCGCAACATAACATCTCTCTCTTTTTTTTTTATCCGAAATCGAAAACACCCGCGGTGGTGGGGTTAGGGAGTGGGGGACATAGAATCCATGCATCGCATCGCGCAAGTCGTGAGGAATTCGGAAGCGCGAGGTGCGCGGTACCGTAAGCCCGGGTATCCGGTTTCCCCTTCATTTCACATTCTTTTACTAGGATAGCAGTGTACTAGTACAACCCGTTTCGGCCCTGTCGGGAGCGCCGGTGCCGGTGAGATGGCGATGCCGTATATACCATACTTTTCTTTTCCTCCCTTATTCTCGCCTCACGGCGTCCTTCTCGTGAGTATGATACATACTCTACTTTCACCGCGCGGAAAAGTGAACCGAGTCCCCGGGTCGATCGGGTCTTTCGGATTTCCTCCTCCGGTATAGTACAGTACAAGTACTCGTACTCTGCAGTATGCCCGAGTTTTTTTTTTTCTTCTTTTTCTTTTTGCATTTTGTTACGGGTGATCAACTATGTTCTTGGATACTCTTCCGAAGAGGAACATTTTGGACCAAGGTACCATTATCACGCGGTCTCGTGTACCGTATCCTCGACACCATGTCTCTTCGCTGAACACAGATTATAATGGCTTCCGTATCGTAACACGAGGGGAAAAAGAAAAAAAAAGCCTCGTCTGATCCCGAGATACTTGTACTAGCGCTTTTTTTTTTTTCCAATTTAGGTACAGCACCGTGCTCAACGTATGCTCGTAGTGAGTGACGTTTGCGGAAACGCGTTTATCGTTGCCTAGAGCAAGCTGCAACGGCCAGGAATTGGCCATGTTCTAACTATACCGTACTGTACGCAATGCAATGGGAGTCAGTCAGTCAGTCAGTCAGTCAAATCAGTTTTGCAAACGTCACCCACCACATTTACAAATTTATGGTAGAGTACTCGGCGTGGGCCCCGAAATATCATCATCATTATTATTATTTTATGTTGGAAAAATTGTGGTGGGCCCGGGTACTCGTAGGGGGGGGGGACAAGTGACCAGATGCCGGAATCGGTCGTGCACTAGTACTGTGCACTCAAAGTTCTAGTGGGGAAGAAAAAAGATGATTCCAATGCGATAGCCGCTTTTCGGTTAAACCTTTGTCCGGTAATTTAGTGTTTTTTTTTTCTTGTTTTTTTTTTGTCTATGATAACTTGTGGTAATTTGGGTATCATGGATTTACTAACTTGAGGCTTTCCTCCGAGGTGTTTAACCCGTAGTTACAGGTTATCGTAAAATCTAGAGGCACATCGAGCGCCGATATTGTGTTCACCAGGAAAAAGGTAAATTTATTTAAAAATTTGGGAAAAATATATATATTTTTAATTTTTTTTCCTTTCTTTATTTTAAATCTAAAATCCTTCCGGAATATCCCGTTTTCACTCTCGCATTTCCAAACTGTTATTGCCCTCGGAAGGAAAAGGTGAAAAAAATGAAAAAAATAATAATATTATTGGGAGGGTGTGGATGCAGGTACGGTACACCACCACAGCGCTGGGTTGGATCAACATTTTGCGGGGTTGGGACGGAGCGCAGGGCACGGTTTCTTGCGTGACCTATCATGATTCGGTGGAATAAGCGGGATGCGAAATGAACATTAGAGAGTTGGTGCTCTCATTCTTCCCTTTTGGGCGCCGGGATGGGGGGGGGGGGGGCAAGGTAAAGTGTGAAAGGGTAGTGGATAGGGTTGGGCGGGGAACGATAGGGTAATTTGGTGAATGTGCAGTATAGTCCCGAACTTGTGCTCCAATGGCGTAGCTGGCGGAAGAAGCTATCCGGTACTTCCCCGTGCGGAGTATTCCCTTCTCTCCCCGGAATGCGCAGCGCACCGTGCCCTGATTATTTGTGTGGTGCTGTGGTACGGGGGGCTCTTAGCCTTGATCCATCCTTGCCGTTGTCAATTTGCGGGCTGCTCGATTGGTTTCGTTCGTCGGACTTGAGCTAGTAAAGTGGCAGCGTCTCTATCTCCTGAAAGCCGCACGATCTGCTCAAGTGCTTCTACGTCCGCCTCTCTCCTAGGAAAAAGGGCTGCTGTGCGATACCGATGCGGTGCGGTCCAGGTCGAGCGAATCTCTGGGCGGGCGGGCGAGCCAGCGACCGGGAGTGTACGGCATGAAGCGAGTGACTATCTCCCTGGTCGCGCAGCGCATGTGCGAATCTTAGTAGCGCTTGCGGGGCGTGAGGGGTGTAGGCAGAAATCGTAGAGGCGCTAGTGAATGAACATTCACAGCACATATGCGAATACCACATTTACCTCACATCCTATCACTCGCTCACAAGTTCCCCTCAACCCTGCATCCTTCTGTGCAGCGCAAACCTAACTCGCAGGCTCTAGAACAAGCTTTCAACACAACCCCTCTGCAGGCGATTTAGCGATTTAGCGATCATCGCCGAAAATTCCAATTGGCCATTCACACACAACCTTGGTTTGCTAGTGTGCAGTGGATACCTAGTGTGCATTTAGATACCAGAGCGCCACGTGCTGAAGGCCATCTCATCTCGTTTCAACCTCGCTACCGTCTCGACTAGTGCCCTGGTGGGCCGGTAGATTGGTTTAGTTAGATGCTTGTAGAGCCGGATGGGGTGATTAAGTTAGTGTGCATCTGGCTGGCGGCTGCTCCCCCCCCATGCCGGTTGCCCCCCACGCTTGGCATTTATACGCCTGCTAGAGGCGGACTGCACTTTATTTCTGGCGGGAGGGATGGGCGGGTGGATTGGTTGAGGGGTAATTGCTATCCGACAGGTCATCTAGTGTTCATGGGGGGATCGGTGCTCGGAGCGGGAAGGGGGTCGGGGATTGAGGGTTAAATTTGTGTGCAGCGGCTGGTTATCAGATTGTGCCGCGTGCACTGGTGAGCGGGGTTGGTGTTGCGCTGGTCTGCACGTCATCGGAGTTCGGAGGGGGGGGGTAAGTGTAGTTTAGGGTTTTGCCTTAGGGTGGGGGGGGGAAGGGAGTTGGGATGGCGAGGGTTGCGCTTGGGACCGCTCGGGGAAGAGGTGGAGGAGAAACGATTGGGCGGGTTGGCTGGTATGTTTGTGTAGGTCGATCGCCTGGGAGGCTGGGGGTGCTGTGTGAGATAGCGTGGGTGTGGTAATGGATGAGTGGGTGGATGGCATTGGGTTGGATTGGGGATGAGATGGCGGGATGGCAGAAGGGGAAGTCCTGGAATGATACAACAAGATCACCGGTATGATGCTGTACTATGCTGTGATTTGTGCACAGGCACTTTCTCTTCAAAATAGCCAACTCTTTATTTCTTTTCTCTTCGTTCGCAGCACATCTGCTCTGTCTAGCCTGACTATCCCAACACGGTAGATGCCTTGATCAAAAAGAAAAACCTCCCTAAAACGCCTGTATATCCGAAACTCCAAAGAAGAACATGTCCTGTGATCTTAAATCCGGATCGAATGAATGATTGCCTGATAGTCTATCCTTCCTTTTCCTCGAGGGTCAGACACCGGGCCTCTGTCCGACTCGTGGTGCCCCTCTTCCCAAGAAACGCCTCCGGACGACAAAGCGTCCAACCACAACATTGACCAGAATCAATGCCTCGACCGCAACAATTCCCCAGCCTAGGGCAAATACGAAATTCTGAGATGCGCAGTTAGTCCCCCGCATTGTTCTTCTCCCAAACACCCTAACTGGGGAAAGGAAGTTGGGAGGAGAGAAACATACCAGCTCCCCACAAATCATCCAAAACTGCACATCCTGATGATCAACCTTCGAATTTTTACAGGCCCAACCCCAAACTGTATCTCCCTCCCCATCCCCACCAATTAAGTATCCGGCGCCCACAGCAGCAAGCACAAGATTAACACAGCTCACCCCCAAATTCAGCCAATCCCCCAGCCCGCCCACCTGTCTAACCTTTGGCTTCAATCCTGCAGCGAGCACAATCGCAGATAGCATCGTAGTCACACAGGACATGGCTAGCAGTATCGTCGTAGGGCGTAGGTTGATCACGGACGGCCATAGGTCCTGCCTTTTGGACAGCATGTGTCGCGGGAAAGTGCGATTTATAGTGGAGTAGATTGTTGAGATGGTGACAACTATCGCGAAGGAGAATAGGGCGGCTGTCAAGCGTAGGAGGAAGCGAGTCCGGGAGATGTAGATGGGGGCGGTCGGGGATGTGGGTGGTGGTGGGGGTCGGGAGAGCCCGGTGGTTATGTGGGTTAGTGGGGGCAAGGGGAGGGATTTTTGGAGGGACGTGGTGGAAGAGATGGACGATGGGTAGGACGGTGGACGGGCAGTCGCTTGTCGCGGTGGCGGGAGGAGTTGTTCGGGGAATGACGGCATTTTGTTGCTTGTTTGTATTGTCAGTAGCAAACTTTGTCTGTAACTGTGTGGATATCCACCGATGCGCTTTCTTTCGCAATCCTCTTTCTACGGGGGGAATTCTCGTCCAGATATAACCTTACACCTCTGTTCCACCCTGCGTCCCACCCCCCGTGTGCTAAAAACTCTCCACATGCTCTCGAGGAATGGCCAAACATGAAACGCCAAGTTAAGCTTACTGGCCTGGGCTTACAAGTGCTTGCGCTTGGATGCCTCGATGAGGAATGTTACAATTTTTCTGGGACCTGTGCTACTGCTTGATACAGTACCCTACCCTTGGTGTAAGAGAGCATTACCAAGGAGTTGTCCCTCTCTCATGAAGGGGTTCTCCTGAACTTCTGATTTTGGGACGGGTAGCTCTACTCTGGTTGGGTGGTGGCGCCCTTAGTGTGCTGTACCGTACCGGTAGTTGGGGGTGAGCGCGCTAAGAATAGGTTGCCTGGCGGAATATGGATAAACTTTCGCTTATAGGCGCCATGCTCTACAAGTACTGATGTCGTATGAGGATTAGAGGTTTCTTTTCGAGGGGGCTCGCTTGTTGATAGAATCACGATACCGGCACTGTGGCTTGGTTTGCTATTATTCAATAACCGGCCAAATGTTATAGTATTGGGGAGCTCTCTGCAGGCAGTCGCAGCACAGTTAGTATCATAGGCTAGTTTGGTGAGACAGATGCTCGTGGTACTCGAGTACTACTGTAGTAGGCTATGACTTGGTACCTGCTTGTGCGGGTGGGGCCCAAACTCGGACATCTCTGAAAAAGCCGGTCAAGATATCCAATCACCACACAATCCCCCAAATGATTTCCATCACCATTCGAGAATCATACCATTTTAACATTTCGTCAAACTATTTTAGAAACGAGCAACGTACTGTAAATTTACCCCTTAAGGGCTTGTAGAACCTTCCAGCTCCCCCATATGAGGCAACCCCTAACCCCTGGTGTGACACCACGACTAAGCCACTCCATTCCCGGAGCGGACGCTTGCTCTATCAGGCACTTCTGGCGAAACCCCGAACCTGTTTCAGGACACCAAGCCCCAAACCTTCTTCGACTTAAACTTTGACAGCCCTTCTCAGTCTCTGACCTACCCCAACGTCCACCCGTGCCCCTCGTTTACTGACACTGAGCAGATCTTCATCATCGAGTTCGATTTGACCTTGCTCAAAGATTACCGCAACATTCAACCCACCGGACTCAGGCATTCCCAACTCCTTCCCCTTTTCGATCTTCGCCCCGGAATTCGTGCTTCTTCGCTGAAACTGTTTCCCCCCGGCCTTAGTACAAGTATTGCGTGTAACCGTTTGCTTATCAAGCGAACGTCCTTGTTTGGACAGGGAAAGGGATGTGCACCTACTGAACGGTTTCAACCTCCACTGCTCCAATTGCCACAAAAATCACCTGCCCAAACCCTGGGCTATCAATTACAAGTGCACATCTGGCGTTCTGGGCGATGGCGCCGATGCGACTGCGTAGACACGGTGGGTCAAACCCGTAGTAGTCACTCAAGACGGCATTCGGATATTCGACGCTTCCGGAAACAAGTGAGTGATAGTGGTGATAGTCCTGCAGCGATAAGCGGAAGCTAGTCAAGGCCCAGTTGTTTCAGGTGAGTGTGTGGCCAAGAGATTCGATGAGTGTCAGATTGTGAAGTGGGAGCTTTTAATCTGAATTTTTTGGGCTTGCGAAACGGTGTCGTATACTGCCGCTCTGCGGTCTGAGGGGAGGATTGCTTTTCTCTGAGGTGGAGTTAGATTTGTATCGGAACTAGACTATACGAGGGGATGGTTGACGGGTCATCCTCGGCATATCTCGGCCGGGACGCTGGCTTGTGATAACGGGTGAAGAAGCTTTGGAATGTCTGCTAAAGTTAGTAGCCGTTAGTCAGGGTATGGTTTGGGATTACCGGATAAGCGCCTGGTAGACTCGGTTTGAATTCATGCGGGTTGGGGTGGTGGGGGTCTGTGGAAGTCTCGATCACCACCAAGAGTTACCCACCTTCCATCTTGGGCATGCTCGTGCAAATACTAGCGGAAAGTATGCAATGTATTGACTGACCGGGGAAGTTGATAGACTATACTCTATTCGAACCAAGGATCAAACAGTGGTAATGACTTTGTCTTTTCAAATAGAGGCTGCTGTTCCCTCTTATATTCTCTAGTCTCCACGGAAATTTGTACCACAAACTCTTCGTCTTTAGGAAACCACTGGTATGCCTTTCTGCCGACCGTGAACCACCCAACCTCCCGGTTTTGCACCTATCACTCGGATTTCAGACACCAAACATGAGCCTCTATCGTATGAGGGTGGTTGCTATCCTGAGGCCCGAGGGGGCCGTAATCGGAACAACAGTGTAGATACGCTAACAAACCCATTTTTGTGAGGAAATTTTGTTAGAGGGCCGCCTATAGGGTTCAATTTGGTAACGAATTCGCCGAGGAGAGGCCATGGTCCGATATATATGGCCGAGTTTTGGGGCGTGACAAGCAATGATTCCTGGAGGTTCTTAGCAGATAATCCAGCGTCTAGGGCTAGGTCAGAGTGGTTGTTTTAGGATTATTTTTGCTGCAGGGGAGAAGAACGAGGGAGGGACTCGAGGGGGGATCTTGGGGTGGGGTGAGATACGAGTACTGGCGGAGAGATGGGCTAAATAAGGGCCCGCGGAACACGGGTTACGGTGCCAAAGCACCCATGCAAGGGGATTATAATACCTTGGGGTATACGACACTAGAAGTTCCTGCGGTTAGTCTGGAGGACCGGTCCACACGGGAACCTGGATATTTTACGATGACAAAGCAGATAGAACATACGGATGGCATTCACAACTAGAACAAATGTTGAAGTGGAGAAATGAAAGGTATTTGAACATCAACACATGTATAATCTCAATCAAAGAGTGCTAATAGCCTGAATACCACATGTCGGAGCTGTGCTGTATCCTGTGATCTGGCATGATATAGCGCTGGCAAGGTATTTACACAATCCACTGCCCCTTACTTATCCTCCAGCCCTGCCCCCATGTTCGGCATAGACTACTCGTATCCTTCACGCCCTCCCCAACCGCCCCGCCAGAAGCTGTCCCATCGCCAGCGCTTCCTTTGGCCGGCGAACTGAATGGTGCTCCCGGTTTTGGCCTCCAGTCACCTTCTCGCCAACACTTCACATTCCTCCTACTCGAATTCAGAGGGACCACGTGCATCAAAGCTTTTCAGCACGGTGAAGTCCCGCCTTCGTGCCATATAACCGCGAGGAGTCCGCATCACCAGGGGTATCTAGAGCGGTTTTGGTAAGTCCCATGACACCTACCGGTATTATAGCATTGTTCTAATGGCTGTTAGTGGCGGAAGCGATTTCGCGTGTCTTTCGAATGAATGGTTGTCATCGGGGTGATTTAGTCCTCGTGAACCGTGGCAAGAATCATTTGGCCCAGTTTGTTTGCCCAGTTTGTTTGTGCCCGGGAAGGGTGACGTTGAGCTATTCGTTGACGTCAAGTCTGTGGAATGGACGGCCTGTTCGTCCGAGACCCCTTATCGATAAGAGAAGCCCTGACCCAGAACATCTCCACCCGGGCCTAAAACCGAACCACGGTTTTTGGCCCTGTCCGGGAGACAGTCAAAACCAGGGTCCCAACCAATTTTGCAGCCCCGGAAACCCCTCAGGAGTTTAATAGCACTCCAAACCATGGCTATAAGGAAGCCTATGGATTGAAGAAATGGCCCGAAGACCAAGTTGAAGTTCTGAAACTTCGCCTCCAGAGGCAATTACCGAGCCCGGTCCCGCCCATGTTGCATTGATTGCATCTCCCCGTTCCGCACCAGGCCTCTCGGGATCTGCCCGAAAGAGGAGAATTGCGCCTACCACTAGCCCTATCATGGTTTGGTTTAGGATGTTGGACGCTGGCCAGTTTAAGTACGTGTGGTAGGGAAAACGGCATTGTTCTGACGAGGTGTAGTATTGGGATGCCGTGCCGGAAAGTCAGCACTGCCCAGCATCGCCATGATAGAGAACCAGAAAATGGTTGCGCGTATATTTGCTTCCAATTGCCAAAACATGCTGGTGCTCAACGCTTCAAACTGGGCTGGGGTGCTCAAGCGGCCGGATGCTGGGAAGGATCATACTCGAGTGCAGTACCGGTACTCGAGTACAGGTACCGGCCAGCAGATCTCTGGCTACACGGCCAAGCACTATATTCTACCGGTACTCATCCTGGAAACGGCAGCGCCAAGCCTCTCAGCACCTTGTTGTCCTGGTCCCTTGTCCCCCGAACGCACCATAAACTTTGCTTGAATCATAACTCGCTTTCCCTACCTATTGGCGTGACCGCTGGAAATTCTCGATATCAAAAACCGTAGATTTATCTTCTAATTACTCCCGAACTGGCCCTGATTCAGATGTATCGAGTGCGCACCGCGCCTCGAGGGACTGGTCGAGTATAAGAAAGCCCGGGCCGGGATAACCAAAGGAGTAGCTTTGATCTATCCAATCCTTCGTTACACCCGCCGACCTATCAGGGACGGTGTTTTGGGTCACCCAATTGCATGCAGGTATCCTTCCCCATCCCATCCTACTCAAGCACCCACGTACCGTAATCTACCCAAACTGGTATCTTGACAATCTTGATAATTGCTGCATGTTGAGGTGCATTAAGAGCGGGGTAATCGTATTGTACCGTATTCTTCGTGTCGTCGAATCCCCGGCCACCGCACAAAATCCACCCTCAGCTCCCATACTCCGAACAACGAATACCAAACCAAGGTAACACCAACCTATGCGCAGGTGGGTAGTGGCCACCCTGTGCTCCTGGAGCAGTGTTAGGAGTATTGCCACACCCGTCAGAGCATCCTGAGAAGTCGCTTTAGCAACCACTTTCCGTGCTTTCTGTTGTGGATATAGCGGTAGTGGTAACCATTTTCGGTGAGATAAACCAGCAGAGTTGAACCTCGGCAGAAACAAACACGAATCGAGTGGCCACCTCGTTCCCATAATAGATTAAAGATAGGCGGTGGAGAGCATCGCTTAGGCGAACGATATCTGGCCGCTCCCCCACCGCGCCCACGAACATGCCAGGCAGGGTACTATGTACACCAAACCGCTCTTGCGCCACTCCCCCCCGCCTTCTCGCTCGTACTGCACTTTGCTTTAGACCCACCCGAACCTGCCAACCATTGGGCACTACCGCACTGTGTGTAAATGCAATCTCACTATCAGAACAGGGCACTAGCAATCCTATAGTACAGCCACGCAGGGCGGATATGATCGCGGTACAGCGCCGCAGCTTACTGTAGGAAAGGGAGAGAGCAAATGGGGGTCACGGGAGTACCCTGGGCGAGAGGGATGTGGGCACAACAGGTACAAGTATTAGGGTCCGCCCTCTTTTTTTCCCTTCCCCACCCCCCACCGGATCATCGCTGTAGCCCATCGACAAACGAGTGCGACGCGTTCACTATATCACAATGCCTATCTCTTCCCGTTGGTCCTGCGAGATACCGAAGTGCTCCTTGACAACCTATCTATTTGAGTCCCCAACCGCAGTACTAGACCAGGAACCGTTATACATAGACTCCCTAAACCCCGAGAAATTCGTCTCCCACCATGCATATCGTTCTCTAGTTCAGCGGATTGCCTCAGGGCTCTTGGCCATTGGTTTACGGCCTGGTGATAGAGTGCTTTTGTTCTCTGGCAACAACATCTTCTTCCCTTCTTTTCTCAATGGGATCATTGCAGCTGGAGGGGTATTCACCGGGGCAAATCCAAGCTTCACCCCGAGGGAAATAGAGCAGCATATTAGGAGCTCTGGTCCCAGGTTTCTGGTCGCCCATAGGAACAATAGCGATGTTGCGAGAGAGGCTGCAGGGAATGTTGGATTAGATGAGGGGAGCGTCTTCACGTTCGACGAGGGGTTGGATATAACGGCTGATGGGAAGATTGTTGGATGGGGGGATAAGTCAAGCCCCGGTCTGACGCGGCATTGGAGCGATATCGTGGAGAAGGGTTATGATGGGTTTGTCTGGCGGGAACTCAGAACGGACGAAGAGCTCGATACCACCGCTGCAATCAACTTCTCCTCCGGGTACGCTGTCCCCACCACCATGTATTTTCACCGCTAACACATAGCCTAGGACCACAGGAATCCCGAAGGGCGTCCAAATCACGCACAAAAATTTCGTCTCAAATGCCCACCAAATCATCTATCTGCGCATGCAGTCCGATTCCGTTTCCAATGACACTCGCTGGCTGGGTATGCTACCAATGTACCACGCATATGGCCAAACTTATTACGCAACCGTTGCACCCAAGCGTCGAATCCGCCTCTACATGCTTCAAAAGTTCGACTTTGGAGCCTTCCTAATGGCCATCCAAAGACACAAAATCACCAGTATCGCCGCTGTGCCTCCGATTATGGTTGCCCTAGCCAAGAACCCCGACGTGCTAAAATTCGACCTAGGCTCTGTGAACAGGCTAGGAAGCGGAAGTGCGCCTCTGAGCAGGGAAATTTCGAGGGAGGTCGAGGAGAGAGTGATGAGAGGACGGGCGGGGGAAGAAAGGGTAAATCTGAAGCAGGGCTGGGGCATGACCGAGTATTATGAATTACCTTGTTGATGCCATGGCGCAAGCTGACATTTTTGCACATGTTAGGGCCACCTGTTCGGTTACAGGCTTCCACCCAAATGACGCGGATGAGGTGGGTTCTGTCGGTGAATTGCTGCCGAATTGCGAGGGCAAGGTTTGACTAATTCTCCCCAACCATGGGCCAACTCTTGTCGATAACGAATTACCACTAGGTCATGGACGCCGAAACCGGGACCCGGGAACTCCCTCCGAATACCCCGGGTGAGGTTTGGGTTCGAGCGCCTAATGTTACGAAGGGGTATTATAGAAATAGGGCCGCAACTGAGGATACGATTACTCTAGATGGGTGGCTCAAGACTGGGGATATAGGGTACCACAATGAAGCGGGGCGGTGGTTCATTGTGGATCGTAAGAAGGTTTGCCCTTTATTATCTATCTATTTGGTAGCCGGCTAACTTTCCTAGGAACTTATCAAAGTCAAGGGGAACCAAGTAGCCCCAGCGGAACTCGAGGGAATATTGCTAGAGCACCCCAGCATCGCTGATGCAGCGGTCATTGGAATCCCACAGTCTGTCGCCGTAACATTTTCCCTCTGTCCAATCCTCGCTCCGACTGACTCACGTCTGATAGTGCTGAGGACGAGCGACCGCGCGCGTACATCGTGAGTAAGCCGGGTACAGCCGTAACTGCAGACGAGATCCGCGAGTGGGTCAAGAAGCGCGCAATCAGATACAAATGGATCACCGGTGGCGTTGTGCTCATTCCTGCGGTTCCAAGGAATCCGGTTCATCACCCATCGTTAGTACATGATTTTTAAGAAGGCTAACACCAATCCTTGGTACAACATCTAGTCCGGCAAGATCCTCCGAAGAGAACTCAGAGACAGAGCCAAAACCGAGACTAGCGACTCAGGAAACGTGGCAGCCAAGCTGTAGACAGAAAAGTTGAAATAGAGACCCCGAACCACACTACCATGGCTAGGTTTGTCTATTTATTGAAAGGGCCTTTCGGAATGGAGCTACTTTCTCTTTATTTTCTTTATTCTTTACGGAGCGAAGCGAAACGCGCCTATCGCGTGGTAACAGTGTTGTAGAAATAAATTTCCCGAAACATCCTCCCAGATATTCATGATCGTTTCAGAGGCCGAGTGATATTTGGTGAACACCTCTCTCGCAATCCCATTTCATGAGGTCTTTGTCTCGAGTCCTGGATATAATCCCGCCAACTACCAAAACCCAAGCCTCACAATATAGCGAATTTTTTCTCCCATCAACCTTTCAACCTCTTGTCTCATACATCATCAAAAATCACAACCACATTGAACAATCCAACATGAAGAAAACCCCCCTCCTCCTCTCACTCCTCCTCCAGATAGTGCACGCAAATCCCTGGCTCCCGCAAACTTCCTCCGCCCCCTGTGCGCCCAGCAAAAACTCCACCTGGGCACTAAGAACCTATCCCTGCAACCCGCAAGCCTCTGACACTACATCAACATTCTGCTGCCTCCCGCAAGAAACCTGCCAAATATCCACCACCGGAAGCGCCCAGTGCCTTCCAGTATTCACCAACAGCAGCACTTCCCACCCCCCCAGACCTGCCAACTGCTCCGGCGTGGTAGAGTGCCCGTTGTTTTGCAAGCAGTAAGCACCCCCCCGTCTCCTTCCCGAGGAGAAGGGAGTACTCGTAGAGAAAGAAAAGCGCTAACGGACGGCTGATCGCACCCCAGGAGCGAGTTCACCTGCGGCAGCACATGCTGCCCCAACGGAAGAGCCTGTCTTTCAAATGTCTGTTTCGAGAATTTACCCGCAAGCGCAGAAGTCACCACCACCGACAGCGGGGGTGTGCAAGCGCACGGCGTTACCTCCCCACCGGTATCCCGCGTTCCCGCCAAGGAGGGAAGGGAGAAGACCACCTGGGTAAGTGGTAAGGCGCTCACCGCCGTCGTCGTGGTGGTCGTGGTATTTGCCGTCATCGCGCTTGGGATCGCCGGGTGGGTTTACCTGGCTAGACGCAGGAGGCGCATGGAGAGGGCCAGGCGCTCGCCGGCGGGGTTGAGGAAACTCCCGATTGTGGGGTATGTGAGCGGTGGAGGTGGGAGGAGGAGTGGGGCTGGGCGGTGGATGGACGTGCCGTTGCCCGGGTACTCTGTTGGGGTGGGGGCGGGTGAGGTTGCGGTTTGGAAGTAGGTGTCGATATATTATTACCATTATAGGTAGATAAACCTTGGAGAGGTAGGGGTGCCGGTACGATAGAGTAGAGATTCCCTTCATATCCTTTTTTTTTATTATTATTACAAATTTTGACAATTCGGGCGGCAAGAGAGTGTCATAGTGATATTTTTTTTTTCTTTTCTTTGGCCTGTTCTCCATTCATTGTATCATACTGCATCGTTAGATTATCATACAAAGGAATGAATACATTGATACCCCAACCCACACGTCCCGAAACGGACCCCGTTTATCATACCATACCATAACTGCAAGTCAATGAAACTGCCACAAGTACGATATGATAACATCATACGTGCTACAGCTTACGGCGCCGAATTCCCCACATGCATACATACACACCGACACGACACGACAACAACAAATACCGCTCTCCCGGAGCACCAGTACAGTACATACCTTTCCCGCAGCATTTCTGCGGACTGTGGGACCTGAATTTCGGCATTGATGTTCTGCAATGCCGGACTAGTGATTGGATAGCTCCTTTGCACAGAATGCAGTGCACCTGTTAGCGTTGTTGGGAGGGGGCCTGTGGTGCCTTTGCGGTATCATATGTCTGGTAGCCATGTCTGCCGTTAGAAAGAGAGGGAAACAGAAAAAAGACTCCCGAGCCTTGGGACGTAAGTTTGTTGACTAACTTTTTTTTCTTCTTCTGATTCCGGCGTGGTATCGTAGGGTCAGCCGTGGCCCCAACTCTCGAAGGCGCGGCTGGTGATATAGTGAGGTCGTCGTATTATGGAACCCGTCAGGCGCGTACAGTGCAGTACCAGGGTATCACAAGGCACAGTTGCGTCCAGACAACCAGCAGAAGGCGTGTAGAACCCTTGGTTACGGTAGTCTGGGAGGAGGTTTGGAATATGATACCTGGCTTCTATCGGTATCATACGGCAACTTCACTTGCGCCCGGGCTGATAATATCTCAAGACGGGATGTGGCTGTCCGCTTCGTTTACCCCGGGGTTTGGCGGGGGAATGGTGTATCGCACGATAGGGTTTGTAAATATCATAGTCACTTTCACACATACGATACGGTATACGATGGTATCCGGGGCCCCACCAACGGGGTGTGTACCGTACGGTATGCAATGCTGGAGATCAGGGAGTAGCCTAGTGAGCATACGGTAGCACCTTTCTCCTCTTCATTTTCCACGCCTTTAATGTTGGCGCTCCGGGTTTCTTTCCTGACGAGGCCACCGCGCGAGTGACTTACTGCATCAGACTGACACTATGTCGAAGCCATGTTTGTAGAACACTGTTGCGTTGTAGCTACCCCACCGTCGAGAAAGAATCGCTTCAGGGCCCTGAAACGAAAGGTGCTGGCTGAACCGGGATCCGAACGCCTTCCAACATCCATCTCGTGGTTTAAAAGACTGGTATGGTAATGAGCCGTGCCCCAAACGGCGGTGGCAGCTGGGCATGGCATGGCTCATAACAATGATAAATCCTAACTGACTTGGGGGCTTTTCCTTGAACATGATCTTCTCCAAGGGGGAGCGGGTATAGCGGTTCTTGTTAGTGTGAGATGGCCGGAATACCGCTGTTTATTTTTTTTTAAGAATTAGCAGGACGAGGTGATCTCGGAGGCGGTATTACTTGTGCAAGTATTCGTACTCGTACGGTGCACGGGGGTTGAGAGAATGGTGTGAAAACTAGACTAAACCCGGTGTTTGTAGTGGATGCAGTTGCCTCACTCTGCTCCGCCCCACCGCCGTTATCTAGAGAGGAGAGGTGAGGGACCTGTGATCATGGCTGGAACTTACAAGTATCATGCATCATGTTATGATATGATACCATCTCCCGCAGCAGACTAATCAAAAGCTCTACGACCCTAAACTCGCAAATTCCCAGAGCAATTGGTAAATCATATCACCATATTGGAAAGCCCCAAATCTGCGGCGAAGTGTGTCAAACCAGGATCACAGAATTCTCATCCCGGTACCGGTATTCCCTTCCTCCCCGCTGCTTCGGTGCTCGGCCAGCTTTCGTGTGCTTCTTCGGCTTCCCCCGCAAAGGAGACAAAGAATGGCTCCTCATCTCCATCAGGGAATACATCTCTTTCGACCCGCACTGTTGGGGACGTAATCGTGGACCATTTCGTGGACGAATGCGGTGCCGTGAAAGTGGACTGCCAAACTTGGTAGACGATTCCCAAAAGTTGGGAAAGGGTTACGAATCCTTAAGGTCAAACAGGTATAAAGGGAGAGCAACTTCCCCGTGGGAGAGAAGTTGAACCGGCAAAGATGGGCAAGCCATAACTTAGCGGACCTTTTGTTCGTAGCATTGGAATCGACCCCTCTTCACACTTCCACCTCTCCCCTATTTCGGGGTTCTTTGAACACTCTTGTTTTCCCCTTGATCGGGGCGGTTGGGGGTGGGGAGGGACGTGGTGAATACAAACGGCTCCAGCGGAACGCCTGTCAGGCCCCAGAGGACGAGGGGGGTTGCAACGGTATCGCTGCCGACACTGTGGTGGTACTATCATACCGGTGGCACGCGGCTGATCGGCTTATCCGCCTCCGACTAGGTTTCCCCGGAGGAAAATAATAAAACATCATACTAGCCGCTGCGGAGGATCCTTCTCCTCCCCCTTCCCTCTTTGCTTCCTTCCTCTCTCTATTTGTAATCCCACCTTCCGTTTCACACCTTAACCCCTACGATACAATACCGGTACTCGAGTACCTCAATTCCTCCCAATTCCGCTTACCACAACTGCTGTTATCATCGCGCCTCTCACGTCGTACCTTCTCCTTGACCTGTATCTCAGCTGCTACACGCCGGTGGGATTAGCGATACGAGATAAGACGGAACCACCAAGCTAGGTTGCATCTCACGCGTTGGCCATGGCGAGCGATAATCCACATAACTTTCCCCCCTCTCTCACGCCGAATCAATGGACCACTCTCTACGCCGTTACCTCCGCCATAATTCGGCCGTTCACGGAGGACGAAATAGCGGCGTACATGCAAACCACAGCCACGGATATCTCAAAGGAGCACGTTAGATCGTTTCTCCTCGAAGAGGCAAACTATACAAATCCCCGCTTCAGATTCGCCCTAGAGCACACCTTAGAACAGAAACTACCAAAAAGCTCGGTTCAGGCAATATGCTTTGTGTTGAACCTACTCGAGTACGCTCCCCGTAACCCTACTCTCTTGCAACTTGATGCTGACAATTCCACTACAGTTCCGTGCCCGGCTGCCTCCTCCTCACCTTCTCCCTGACCCCCTTCCACCGTCAGCCGGCGCGTGTTCGGGAGGACCTAATAATCTCTTGGCTCGACCAGTCGTCCCGGCTCCTCTTCCCACCAATTCGTGGCTTCGCAAAGGCCATCACGGCGCTAACAAGGCTAGTCTGGACCCGTAGTGCTGATGCAGACATGTACTACGGGGCTGTTGGGTATCCGGAGAAGACAGGAGCCGGAGTGAAAGCTCTGGATGGGGAACCCGGGGAGTTCTACAAGTTTGACTTTCTGGACTTTTCCACCAGTGAGAAGGGCGCGCTCGAGTGCGACGTTGTAATCGTCGGGTCGGGATGTGGGGGAGCTGTTGCGGCGGCTCGATTGGCGAGCGAGGGTCTTGACGTTGTGGTTGTTGACCGCGGCGAGTGGTGGGTCTCATTTTGCTTGTGCTTATTTCTGCACCGCTCGCATCCTTGTGGGCTTCCAAGTTGACGCGGGCCGGGTGGGGTTTAGGGTTCCATCCGATCAGTTACCGTTACGGGAGACAGAGGCTTTTGCTAAATTGTATAACGGTAATTTAGCCTCTACGACTGCGGATGGAGTTATTGCGCTGATGGCGGCGGAGACATTCGGCGGCGGTGGAGTAGTTAATTGGGCTGCGAGTCTTCAGGTAGGCATTCTCCTTCTAGGGTTAGGGTCAGATCATGGGATCTAACTCGAAGAAGACGCAAGGGTTTGTCCGGGAAGAGTGGGCGGCGAAGCACAATCTTCCGTTCTTCCTTTCCAACGATTACCAAGATTGCTTAGATAAGTAAGAATTTCACCATCCTTGTAATGTGGGGCTACGGCTGACGGGGTAGGGTATCTGAGCGAATGGGTGTCACGGCTGAAGGCATTGCGCACAACCACCGGAATCAGACCATACTAGACGGATGCAGGAAGTTGGGTTACTCTGCGGTCATTGTCCCGCAAAATACGGGCGCTACTTTGCCAGGCGATAAAGAAGGTATAGTGCGGGAACATGCGGATGGATATTGCTGCAATGGGTGTGGAAGCGGCAAGAAAGGAGATGGCCGGAAAATGGGAACGTATGTTTATAACCTAGATGAATCACGGTATCTCACTTGATTAACTATATTTTTATAGAACCCATACTTGGCTTCCGGATGCCGCCCAAGCTGGCGCTCGCTTCATCCAGAGCTACCACGCAGATAAAGTCCTTTTCTCCACCGATGCCAAAACCAAAGCCATAGGAGTAACGGGCACCTGGGGCCCGCAGAAGGTCCCACTGAATATCGTGGCCAAAAAGGTCATTGTGAGCGCTGGTTCGCTGCATTCTCCGTGTCTACTCTTGCGCAGCGGATTAACCGTACTTACCCCCTTCCCATACTACATGCAACTGCTAAACAATATCAGAACCCGAACATTGGCAAATACCTCCACCTCCACCCCAGCGTAACAATCAGTGCCTTCTTCCCAGAGCCCACGGATCCCTGGGTAGGCTCCCCGCTCACTGCCGCCTGCACGCGATTCGAAAACCTAGACGGGAACCATCATGGCGGTAAGCTCGAAACCGCCGTGATGGGCCCACTAGTAATCGCGGGCGTGCTTCCCTGGCTCTCCTCGGCAAGCCTGAAGCGCACCTTGCTAAACTACCGCCACTCGGGCCTCTTCTTCACAATCCAGCGCGAGTGCGAGCCCGGCATGGTCACGCTGAACACCCGCGGCGAGCCGGTCGTCAAGTACACCATCAGTGAAGCCGACCGAGCAATGATCCAGACTTCCCTGCTAGGACTAGCGAAGATACTTTACGTCCAAGGAGCGGAGGAGATATTGCCCGCAGTCTACGGCTTAAAACCCTTCAAGCGTAACCCCACCGCTGCCGAGCGCGAGGAGGAAATCCGCGAGGAGATTGCCGAGGCAGAGTCCTCCGGGCGCTACTTCTGGGGCGGGAGGGGGCGCGGCGAGGATAAAGACGACGACGAGGAGGAGGACGAGGAAGGTACATGTGGATATGCAACGCATCAGCTCAACGACCCCGGCATCATGGATGTGAGGTTCCAGCGGTGGCTGAAGAAGTTTGCGGCCCACGGAATGGGCGGAGAAAAGACGATTTACGCGTCAGCACATCAGATGGGGAGCTGCCGTATGGGTAATGATGGAGGCGTTGGGTCCGTTGTGGACCCCAGGGGGAGGGTTTGGGGAGTTGAGGGACTGTTGATCGCGGATGCGAGCGTCCTGCCGAGTGCTTGTGGGGTTAATCCTATGATCACTGTCATGGCTATTTCAGAGTGGATTGTTGGCGGGGTGGTGGCGGAGTTGAAACCGCAGAGGGGTGGTGGTGCCAAAGTTTAGTTACTGTAGCGGATACATCTGGTTGGGTTGTATCATAGTATGTACAATATTATATCAGGCTCCTCCCCTTTCCCCCCTTTCTTCCCGAAATGCAAATGTTCCATGTACAGCATTGAATTGATTACCAATTCTTAATCGTTATAGCCTGTACCTTCTCAAACTCGGTATGCACTTTGAACAGGTGCTCCAGCCTATGCGGTCGATATCCCCAGTCCTTTAGACATATCCTCTGCCTTCTCGAAGCAGTCTTCAAGTATATAGGCTTACACCCGGGAGGCGCGCGCCCATGACATGATACCTACTTAGTAACAACATCCAAACCACTCCCCGTCTGGCCCATGCAGGCACATGGACACAATGTGATGTTAGAATTCCTCAAAAAGTCCGCGGAACCCACTGAGTTTCCTAGCACCGGAAGAATTGGTCGAGCTGGCATGTGCATACGTGTCCACCTCAGTGGGGTGTTCGTGCCAATAATCTCCTATCCGCAAATGATCTCGGGACTGTTCGACATTGGGTGCGATTACAGGAGCGATCTATCCCTGCGGTTCCCCAAGCCCTGCCTGATGGTTTCTGTGGCGAAGTTGAGGCGGTTGCGGTCGAAAGGTCTAAGAATGGGTCCAGAGGGCCCCGGCCCGGATGGCACAGGTGTAGGTTAGCTTCCACGATTAACTTATCCTCCCTCTGAGTGGCATCCGGACCTGCACCCACTGACCCTCCTAGGATGATACCACCTTCCTTGTGGATAGCTCTAGCTTTAGCCAACCCATTCTTTAGTCCACTAGTATCCTTGAAGATCTAAACAGTGGGTCCACAGGAAACATGGACAAATGCGTATTAAAGAACTTTGTACGCTCTTTGTTTATCCTCTTACTGACCTCCCCACTGACTCGGCGCGGCGCCCGGCGGGCATTGTTGAATGAAGTGAGTAGAGGATAGAGGGGCAATCAAGCGAAGGAATTAGGGACCCAAATATCACAAGGGTAAGACCGAAGTATTACATTGTGGTGGGGGACACGGGCGGGTGCGGGAAGGGTGGTATGTAGACTATACACCCTCCGTCCTTCCAATCCCGCCATAACTAACTCCATCCCCTTTCACGTTTCTCATTTGAACTGCGGATAGCTCCCCCGTCCGAATTCCGTATCCCTTCCCTCTGATCCGGAAAGTCAGGAGAGTGTGGGGTTTCCCTTCAGTGAAAAAGAAAAGAAAAAAGAAAAGCTCACATCCTTCCGCTGCAAGCAAAGAATGGAACGGGTGGGCGCTATCTCCGCCCGACCACCCAAGACCAGAGAAGTTTATCCGAAGCCAGGCCGGTACTCGAGTACTTCCGTGCTTTGGGATAGACTACCAAAAAATCTGGAGATTAGCTTGACAACACAAACAACCACACTACCGGTATGTACGAGACCTATCCCGAATAGAGAGCGGATAGGGAGGAGGATAGGAAAAAAGGGTAAAATCCTCTAAGGGTATTCTCAAAGCGCTTACGGTATATTTATGTCTTGGGAATTTCTTTCTCATTCTCCTTCCCGATTCTTCGCGTTGAATTGATGGAGGACAATGAACGCCAAGCCACGCCAAGCCAAGCCCAAATTTCTGGCATCATCTGATACGGTAACCTTCGAAAGATGGAAAGTTATCATATGATACTTGTGCCTCGATGTATCATTGGTCAGCGGGTTGCAGTACTCACAGAAGGGAGGCACGACGACAAAAAAAAGGGGAATCAAGCCAGGTCGACAAAAATAAGCTTTTTGAATTTCTTTCTTTCTTTCCCTCCTTCTCAAGCGAGTACTGTAAGAGTATGATGGAAAGGTTACCACAGCATTGCACCAGCACACTAGATTACAAAAAAACTCAGTCCCCCACCCTCCACATTCGAGTTAAGACAACAGGTATGATATGATAACCATACCAACAGGAAATATCTAATCTAGCATGCCAACATAATAAGCCCGAAAAAAATAATAATCCTAGAAAGTTAGTATTCCCGCCTCTGCTACTCGTAGAGCACAAGGGACTTTGCGAAAAGACTCTGGATGTGGGTCAAACAGGGTTCTGGGCCAATGAGATCGCTAGAATTTGACTCTGAATGCGAAATCGCAAAGTCTCTACAGTACGAGTACCATACCATACCTACCGGCAGGTCATGTTCAATCAACAACCGATACGATACGATTCAACACGATACGACACGGTAATACGAGGACAATACGATACGACAATCCACCCCAGAAGGAAAAAAAGAGAGGCGACACCATGATACTCGTACAATAAGTAACAGTAACAGTAACCGTATAGTATAGTACAGTACACAAGGCAGAACAGAACAAAAAACAAACAAAAAACAAACAAAACCACTCCACCCCACCGTCAAACAAAAAAAAATACCAGTACGCCCCCCACCTCCGCTACAACTTTCCGAAATTCTAAATATAAGCCCACCACTTTGACTTTTTTCCAGGGTACGACGCTGGGAGGTAAAAAAGTCGTGGTATGGTACTTGTACGGTAAGTTATATCGAGCGCCCATCTCACCGCCCACTAGGAGTTGTGTCATATCATACCGGTATCGGTGAACTATCGGTACGGTTACCAGACATAAGTTACCGTACGGCCATTCCCGACCTGAACCTGAACCTAACCTAGCCACCGCAGCGCATCGCATCGCATGGCATCGCCTGCGGCGTGTGATGATAGCTTACGTGCGATCCGAGTATAGTATAGTATGGTATAGTATAGTACCGGAGTGTGTTGTGCTTCTACCTAAGTATAACGGTACGGTAATGTACAGTACTGTACTCGGGTAAATTATGTTGTATCAAAGCTTCTCTATCTCTCTCTCTCGCCTTTGTTCCGGGAGGAAATACACTGTGTGATGTGATATTATAACGGTGGTGGTCGGTGGTGGTATTATTATAGGTTTCTGGCGTCTGGAATTTGTACTGGGGTGTTGGGTAGTCTAAGACTACTACCCGTACTGTACTGTGCTGTACTGTACTGTACACTATGGTTCTCGAGTACGATCTTGGTGATAGAATTCGTGACCCACCCACCTTCCACTCCCTCGATTTTGATAGTATGGGGGGGTTGGTACCGGTACGGTGGCTAGAGTGCCGTGGTAGTGTTGGGAGCGCAGGAACACGGGTACGATATGTGTGGGGATATGTGTAATAAGTTATGTTATGTTATTGTATGTTTAAATAGCTAGCCACCTTCCATGGAAGGAAAGCACGAACACTTCTCTATAGTACGAGTATAGCATACCTCCGAACCGACCGACCACAGGGCTGTGCGAGTCCACCACTACCATCACATTTTGCATCGAGGACGGCTGATTTTAAACACTCCCAACTCGCCTCGACGTAATATATCATAGAGTTAATCAAATCAATGCTATAGTGTAAGTAGAATTCCCTAGGCTTCCCAAGTAAAAATTAGGGAAGAATTTTCCCACTTTCGTTATAGGGGCCGGGGGCTTGGAGTCTGGATTGGACCGTGTTGCAATGTATGATACCTTTTGCATGGGAAACTCGTAAAATCTAAAACTACCTTTTGCCTGCTGACATTGTTTCTGGCATTGAGCTATGGGCACCAAATAACGGGGCTTGTCACATATTATAAATGAGAATATCCGGGTAGCTCTAAGGGCTCTGGGGAATTTTAATATTCTTTTGCAAGCTGAAAATGACCGTTTTGGGTGTAAAATGGGGGGGGGGGGCACGAATTTTGTCATCAAGATCGTACAAGTTGGACACTGTACCCTAGCGAGACTGGGAACCCGAGTGACTGAAAACGAGATCCAACGTAGCGGTCATTGATTATCACTCGACTTACGACCTCTCGTGGGCTCGATTTCCCTGCATAAATTACATACCGCACTCGAGTACGGTATCGTCTATTCCACGCGGCCGGGAACGCGGGGACGACTAGAATGCTTCCAGCTTGACTTATGTATCGTACTGTGCTGGTAGGCTGCTCGTATTGCACGTGCCCCGGACTAACAATAGTGACCGGTCCTGTCCGCGAAGCGGGATATTGAGGAAGGGTGTCACGTTGTGCGGTATCATGAGTTATTCTATCTGTGGCGATCATGGGGTTAGTAGGATGGATAGAGCCTATCAAAAGTGTGAATAACCGACGATCCATCCGTCATCGTGGGACTTGGGTGTTTCTCATCTCGATCGTTCGCAACAACCATCCCACAATCTAGCACGACAGAGTAGACTAACAGATAAATCCTTGTGTGCGAGTAAAATATTGTTCTACCAGACAAACAGTTAGCGCAAGTAAGTTAGGCGGGTAGGTAGGTAGAGATTAGACTAGACTACTGTATCATGTGTATGAAGAAAGCCGGGGATATCAGGGAAAAAGGACCGCTGCAAAAGAAACATGAAGGAGAAAAGTGGAATTCATCACCGCAAAACCGTTCCTGAACTCCTGTAGGGCAAGAAAAGAAAAGAAAAGAAAATCCTTTTAGTACAGAAAGGGGTAAGAGCGACACGGGGCAAAAGAATAGCCAGAGGGAATTATCGAGCCATCTGAAGGAGAGGAAGAAAAGAAAACCTAGTTGATCCTCAGTTTTTTCCCCCCCATTTATATATACCGGTGCGCGACAGACAAGGCGAGACGGGACGCGGTAAAGTAATGGATGAGAGAAAAGGAAAAGAGATACCCGGAAGGTAAAAAATGAAAAGGAGGCCAATCATAGATTCGACGAATATGATCTGCCGTAACAAATGCGATATCCCCCCCCGGCCCTGGAATCAAGATTCACCCTGGGGCACTGCATCCACATTCACAAATTATGAACAATACGGGTAGGTAGCAGGAGAGAGAGAAAAGATTAACACCAGACAGAAAGAGCTAGAAAATAAAATAAAGCAGGAAAAGAACAGAAGATAAAGGGTAGTGGGAAAACAAAAGAGAAAGCTCAAATCCCCCCCTTTCATACAAACCCAGACATTCGAGACCTATGACCAACGAGAGACACCGAAGAAGATACGCCGTTTACCCCGCCCCCCAATTCCTAAGAATATATGCACCATTCACTGCATACCCATCGTTACTGAACAAAGTGCCTCCTCCTTTCATCTGCTAATCATGAAGACTGGTCTGGAGCCAGTACTCTGCTGGGAGGCTCCATGAAGGGTTTCAAGGCAACCCCCCATCGCCGAGGCAAGCAGGAAAGGGAAACAGGAAAAGCTAAAGGGACAGCAAATTAGACAACCCCTGATATAGTGAAACAATATGATCTATCCGATGAAATTCCATGCAAGGAGAACCCAAAATGAAACCGTCCACCAGCCTATCCACAAACAAAAAGCAAAGGAGAAGATTTGGCTAAGAAATATAAACTGTGAGCAATGTTGGCAATCGGGGGCTGCTGTAGTCATTTCATTGCAAAGTTTCCAGCGGAATAAAGGTGGTAAAGATATCCTTTTCCATCGACGTCAGGCGCAAAGTGCGCATGCATGGCAGCTATTATCAGTACCCCTCTCCGCGTGATAATGTCGCTGCTGCCATCCGCTCCGCCTGTCTCTCCAGTCTCAACTTTGTGGCTTCAGTTCCCTCATCCTGAACAACCTCGCGGAACCACGGGTGCTTCAACGCTTCCTTGGCAGTGATACGCTTGTTGGGGTCGTAGACGAATATCCTCTTGAGAAGATCGAAAAACTGCTTGTTGAAATTCGTGTTTGGTTGGATGATATCCTATATGTATATTATCGGTATACAGCGTTCAAAAAATTTATCAATAGTGATCCCTACCGGAAGAAGCTTCATAGCGTGAACATATTTTTTACTAGCTCTAGTTGTCTCGTCGTTGGGATAGTCAAGTCGGGTTCCTTTGAAATATCTGCCCACCTGTATCAGCGCAATTCCCACAGCACCACTTCAAGTCAAGGTTGGCGCACCTTGAAACCGCATTGGACACTGTTCTTGAAGTCCCTGCTACTGCTCTGATAAGCCTTGTATCGATCTTTTGTCCAACAACAGCCTGCATCATTGCCAAATGCTCAAGATTGTCATGAGTTTGAAAAAGAGCGTCGCCAGTGTAGAACTCTACCAGGATACATCCGATACTCCAGAGATCACACGGGAAACTCCAACCCAAGCCCAGTATGATTTCGGGTGCACGGTAATGACGAGTGGAAACCACACTCGAATGGTATTCATCATCAAACGTAGCGGATCCGAAATCGATTAGACGAATATCCGTGTCTAAGAGAACACGGCGGGTCCGGCCCTGCCTTTGGGTAGTTGTGGAAGAGGAGGGTATAGCCCTGTTGTAATTAAATGTTTGGAAGGAATTGTGGACAAGGAGAATATTTTCTGGTTTGAGATCGGTATGAATGAGGTTCAGATCGTGAAGAACTTCGAAAATTAGTAAGAGAGAAAGAAAAAACCCCCCCGAGAAAGTTTTTAGGGTATCTAGCCAGGAATACACTCACATGCGACGCTAGTCAACAACTGGCGAGCAAAGTTCTGGATTTGACTGTTCGGAAATGGTGCAAATGAATTTCCCTTCAAAAAGTCGAATACGCTCATCCCGAGCAAATCGGTGACGATACCTGGCAATCATATAACCGTCAATCCCACACCCCATATCCAAAGACGAACACAATTTCAAGTGGGACGGGCGTACATATGTGATTGCGGTAGTCAAAGCAATCTCTCAAATGGATGCACTTATTCCTATTTTCCTTGTCATTGCATGATAAGGTCGCAAGTACTCTTAACTCAATTCGGGACGCATCCCGGTACTTCTGAACTGATCTGATGACCTTGATAGCACATTTAGTCTTCTTGATACGATCATATGCCTCTACAACCTTGCCAAAAGTTCCTTGGCCAAGTTGTTTGGTAATTCGGTCTGGGGGCAGGATATGAGAATCAGTCAAGGCCTCATACAATTTAGTTCAGAAGGATGCAGCTTACATCGTGGTGTCAAATCGGTCTCTAGATTGATAATATAGTGACCATCATCATCGTCCACCCTCCCGGTTGGATGTCTGCCGGGCTAAAGGGAGTAGGTATGTTAGTAAGGGCATGGCCCCAATGAAGGCATGCAATAATAGCACTGGAGTAGAGGGTTCCTCGCTTACATCTGGAATTGGCTGGACGTACACATCCTTCGCCTTGATAGGAGGCCTTGGAGGAGGGTGATAGCTAGAATAAGGATCCAACCCGCTGTTTGCAGCCGCTGCTGCTGCTTGGCTGGCCCTTGTTACTCTCTTTCGCTTCTGGCCATTGATCGAAGCTAATGATGCCCCAGAATAGGGAGGCCCTACTCCAATGTTCGATCCAAGCGATGTACCAGCAGTTGAATTACCATTGACACTTACTGTACTGGAATTAGCGGAAACGGTGGTGGGAGACCCAAAATTAGCATGGGGAGTCTGTGTTGAAGAGTAAGAGTGCTGATGCTGGCCGGCATATGAAGGCTCGTATTGCGATGTCTGAACCTTTCGCTTCTTGTCGGCGTGGCGGGGGCCATGTGCACCTCCAGCAATGTTATTTGTAGAAGGATATTGATGTCCATTGGTTGCTATTGCACGGGATGAGGTGGATGGTTGCGAGTGTTTGCTGTTGGTGTTGGCACCTGGGTGGCCCGACTCCGGCGGGGGAGAATCGTCAATGACAATAACCTCCTTGGGGAGCCCGTTCTTGTAGAAGTCTTCCCAGTTAGGGGTCCGATTACGATTTCTCTTCGCCGAAGGCTGGGCCCTGGAAGAAGCCATAGCCGAGATGGTCGACGAAGAAAAAGAAGAGTTGGTAGGGGTCGAGGCGGTTGTCACAGGCACGGGAGAGTGGTAAATAGGACTGGCGAGATGTGTACGATTCAAGAGATGAGCGTGGGCAGGAGGGTGGAGAACGCGATGGTGATCTCGGGTGTAGTCGTAGCGATAGTGACTGAGGGGCGGTAGGACGGCTGAAGCGGTGGAGGGAGTAGACATTTCCAGTTCAAATCAAGCGTCCTGGAATTTGAGGTGTGGCAGTCCCGATGATTCAACGCCGTCGTCGGTTGAACCCTCGCAACTGACGATGATGACGAACCAAACGGAGCGGCCGGCAGAAGTGGAGCGGGCAATGGGGGGTTGCGAGAAGATTAAATGGCCAAGTGGGAACGAGGCCGATATTTTGGCACTTGGAGTATCGCGGCGGAAGGGAAGCGGTCACAAGTTCTCCGGATCTCAAATTCTGCAGGAGGTTAGTCAGTTGGTCGTTCATCACTGGAGAGAGGGCAAAGCGGAGGGGAATCGCGTTACCTCAGCGTTAAGGGCGAGAGAGCGAAGGAGGAAACGCTTTTAAGATAACCGCTCCTTGAGCTCTGGAGGTGGGCCGCCGCTTGTTGGAGATCGAAAATAGCCGGAGGGGTGGTGAGTATCCGTCGAGGTTGTGGTGGTGACGGTGGATGGTGGTTGTGGGCAGGGCAGAGCAGGACGAAGCCAGGTCCAAGCAGGATGAAGGGTGCCGGTAGCGTAGGTAGGACTGGGGTTGGGGGGCGAAATTCCTGAGCGAGAATACGGGGGGGGGGAGGTGGTGGGAGAGGATTGAGGACGGAGACCAGGAAGATCAAGATCAAGATGAAGGAGGAGGATCAGAGGGAACAGAAATGCGACGGCGGCGGCGGGAGTCTGTAGCCGGAGACAGTGTGGAGCGAAGTAGCCTGGCCGCTCTGCTTGCTTGCTCTCCACACTCTCTTCGCTGGGTTTGGTTGAATGGGAGGTGAAGGGCGGGCAAAAAGGAAAATCTACCGCACTGCCTTCCTGCTGCGTGGGTATGGTAGGAGATCTTGTGCGTTCTCGTCCCTATCGTATCAGCCGTGGTTTACTCTATCATTAGCACTGATCTATTTTTTATTTTTTCATTATTTTACCTCCTCCTCTCCCCCTCTGCTCTCTCTCTCTCTTTCTCTCTTTTTTTCCGCACCATGTCGGCTTCCCGTGGGACTTAGGTCTTTTTACTTTTCTTTTCTTTTCTTTCCTCCCGTTCCTCTACTCTACTCATATCCATTTTTTCCCCTATGCGCGCCTCCCTGTCCTTCGCAGCCTCTCACACCCTCTCCCGGCACCGTACTATGTCTATGTTTCTCCTCGCAGTGATCTCTCTTAGACAAGACTTGACTGGACCGACTGCGGAGCCCTCGGCGGTGGTGGGGGTGGTGCTGGTGTGCAACTCTCGCTTTCATAGTCTCCCCTCTGGGGGTGGAGCTGCAGACAGGGGGGGGATCCGTCGCTGGCCCCACTCCAATCATCTTCCTTTTCCAAGGCACAGCACTGCCGTGACCTTTGCCATTGCTTTCTCTCCTGTTGTCTACCTTTTGTCTACCTTTTGCCGTTTCCCAAATGCTGTCATTGTCGACCTCAAAGATTATTCCTGCTGCTGCTACTCTGCTTGTAATAACAAACGAAAATTACAGCTATGTAGAGCCTGGTGAAGGGACAACTAGCAATTTTGGGACAGCAAAAAAAAGCTCATAAATTTGGTGCTATCGACGACATTCCGTTTACCGGTATTCCACGAGGGGAATATGATGCTGCATGAATAATTTTGGAGGGTGCCTCTGTTCTCCGCAACTTTAACCTGACCTCATTGGCCTGGCAACGAAGCCCATTGAGAATCGCAATGCTTACTCCCCTTTTCTCCCCCCGCTCCCCTGTGCCCCTAAGTTTGTCGTTAAATTCTTCAGGCGGCCGAGGGGAGACGGAGCACAATTTTATTATAAATGTAAGGAAGTTGAATTGTATGATGGAAGATTGTGCTTGCCCAGACACATGGTCTACTACAATGCGCCGCCAAATTGACAAATACCGGTAGCTAAGCTCGATCACGAGAAGCCCCCCTTCCCCCCCAACCCTCCAAGCCCGAGCCGGGGGGAATGGAGGCGAGAAATGAGGGGAAAATAATAATACTGTCATAATAATAATACTAATAATAAAGATAATATTCGGGGCTCGCTCGATCCTCCGCGAGTGGCCACCCGGACGATTGGAGGGTGGCCCGATAACTCCGGATGGTTTGTTTGCCAGCCGTTAAACAGTCTGCGGTATGGGTACCAAGCCAGCGGCCGCGGGAACTACCCTCAAGAACCGTGGTTTTACTCTTCGTGTGTATTTCTCCTCTCATCATTCAAAATTATTTGGGTGTGTGTGTGTGTTTGTGTCAAGCTTCATCTCCGCAGTTTTCCAGACAAGGGAAATTTCTACTTTTCCCTATCGTGTGCCTTGCAACCGAGCAACACAACTCCCCGAGACCCGCTTACATAAGCGCGCGAAAGCTTGCTTTTCCGGGAGGTTATCCCCATGAAGGAATCAGATTAAGTAGCCATCCGACCTACCTACCTATCCCTGCTCCTGGTTGAAAGAGGAAGCCTGATATAGACTTCAGACAACTTGGGTTTTTAGTATTGGAATATTTATGAAAACCCGAAGAGCCGACTATGCAAGTGCGGGGGTATGCATACATATGCAGCCAAGCATATGTAGGAGGTGGGTTGAGACATACAATTTTCTACAGCTTATTATAAAGAAGGTTTTGTTCTATAATAATATTATTATTATACATATCTTTGATATTACTAGAAATAAAATCAACAAGACTATTGTTTGACTTTTCTCTTTCTACAATAGTGTTAATAATAGCCGGTTCCCCTCCGATTTTGCTTTGCTTATAGTTGGGAAAACCAAGTAGGACACAAAAGCAAGTGGGACACAACAAACTTGGCAGTTTTTTTTTTTGTTAGTTTATTGTTTTTTTTTTTTAGCTCCATGTATATGTTCTATCCTACCGGGCAAGATTGTTACTTGGCCAAGGGGATATTCTATTCATCAATAGGATATCTCCTTGATCAGGCGGGGCACTTGCCTAGCAGGATGTCCTGCTCAGCAAGTTGAATTTAGTTTATCCCACTTACAAAGTAAAAAAATTTAAACTTTTTTTTTCTGTACCTAACCCTCTGATTTAACTCTATAGTGTAATAACAAACTGCCTTACACTGCTCACACAACCATCACTAATCCACTCATCTCTAGACCCTTCTGTTTTTGCTCTTGCCTTTTTCCTTAGGAATATTTGATTAAACTTTCCAGAATCTTTAAGTGGGTGTTGAATTTGTGTCAACACTGAGTATTGACCTGGGAGGTGAAAATCATATTTCCTTTGGTGTTAACCAGAAATGTATTCCACCTCTTGCAGCCATCCAGATGGCATCTATAGATGAGAATAGTAGCCCATATGTGCCATTCACACATGCTACATTTCTAGAGTTTAGTGCCTGGCTAAAGTCATAGGACTATAAAAACCGAGTATGTATTTCTTCTAACTTGATCAGTTAGAATTTCATAACTAATATTAATATGTGTATGATTAGTGACTATTTAGCATCAACAAAGTAGCTGTGTATTGGAATTGGCTAATTTTTGAAAATGAGAAACTGGGACCAGGACCTGAGTAGCAGAAGCAATACAACTAACGCTATGATGCTAAAGTCTCTTATCTGGTTAGAGATGGTCAGCTTTGTCATAAAGGATTAGTTAAGAATAGAATAGCGGAACTGGATCAATTGGTAGTCTGTGATAATAATATCTTCTATAAAATTTGAGATGTTCATTTACAACTTGGACATGCTGGTATGAAAAAGACCTTTATCGGAATTAAGGAGCATTTCTATGGGACTCAGATAACCAAGGCAGAAGTGGAGTAGTGTCATAAACTGTGACTAAGCAAGGCAGATTTCACATAGCTCAGACTTCTGAGTTATAGGTATGTTGGGGTTTCACATGACGCACATTAGTACGTCATAGGTTATTATATTTATTTGTTCGTGACTCACAGTTGTGAGTTACACAATGTTATGATTTTCATACATGACTCATACTTATGAGTCATGGGTTTCACTTAGGAGATGCAAGTTGTGCACCTGACTTGGTTATTATGTTTTGATTGGTTTTAGGCATGTCGCGCAGCGACTCATAGGAGTCGTCTGATGGATTTCCCGTGACTCATGGTTATGAGTCAAAGGGTTCGCGTGACGAGAGGTATGAGTTACGCCAGGTGAAGAGCTACTATATAAAGGGGTCGCTAGGACCCTGAGTATGAGCTCTTCACATGTTCTTCTTGTTTATTTCCTACCTTCAAGTTATTATCAATAAAACCTTCGTTTTCGCTCTTTAAGATTTATCTTAAGAAACCCAAGAATTGTCTTTCCTCCCACGAGGAGAGATTAAGTCCTAAGCAAGGACTGCAGAGAAGAATAAGGAGATAGGCGCGAATAAGATAGTAGTCATAGGACTGGACTATTGGGATCGCGTAGGCGCAGGCCGGAGAACTATTACCTTACATCAAGAGAAGTATCGTTACCTGTCGCTCGGTCCTACTCGGTAGGATTCTTAACAAGTAGCTATGGAAGCATTGTTAGACCTGTCTACTCAATAGACAAAATCACTCCTAGGCACCTCTTGAGCCAATTCTATCTGACCATACTATGCAAAGAATCCAGATTAACTTAGTTGATATGAGGTATGAGCCAGATAGACAGTATAAGTAGATTTTGCATATCAAAGATCATTTCAGAAAACAGTTCTTCCTGTTTTCTCCAAGAAGCAAGAGTGTTGAGGAGGTTGAAGGACTGATTGCAACTTGGATTGGGTACTATAGAGTACCAGAGATTCTGCAGTGTGATAATAGAAGAGAGTTTAAAAGATAGCCTATTGGTTCTACTCAAACAGCATAGAATTGAAGTCAAAAATAGAGATTCAAGAACTCCTCTGACTTAGGGACTAGTTGAGCAGGCTAATGCTACAATGAAAACCAAATTGCATGCTTGGAAAGTTTATATAGCAGCAGCTGGAAGCAATTACCATTTCTAGATAAAAGCTCTACCTGAAATGTCTTTAGCCATAAACCGTCAAGGTCATTCAAGTCTTGATGGCCACTCCTCTTATGAGATCATGTTCAATCACAAGCCCAGATGGGAACAGGCTATCTTGATTGCCTCTCGGACTAAGCAAACAATTTCTAATATTTTAGAGGAGTTAGCTTCAAGCACACAATTAGAATATTCAACTACAAGTACTATCAATCTCAATCCAGACTCAGATATCTATTCAGAAGTACCAATCTCAGCACTCGATTCACAGCAACACAGATGGGAGTTTGATTTCAAAGAAAACAGGCTTAAAAACTTTTGAACAAGGAATAGGAACAGTGGTCGCAACAGTGAATGAACAGGGATCTGTCACAACTGGGCAATTGGAAACCAGCCAAGTGATGGGCTGTGAAATGGAACAATGCTAAGCTTATTCACAGAACAGGATTGCTAAAGGCAAAGAAAAAAAACTTTTACTTTTACTCTCTTCCACTCCTCTAACTATTGCATACTTTTCTAACTAACGGTGTACGTAGAAGAATATATCTGCTACGGGCGATGTCTGACAAACCCCAGTCTCCTGTCACCCCCCCTCCAGGTAAGTTCTCCACTTTCCTCTCTCAAGCAAATACGAACTAACAAAGAGAAGAAAACTTGAAGGCAAACTCATGCCTCTCCCTCCCACCAGGTAAGCTTCCATATCCTTTGAGTAAACAAGAAAGAAAAGATAACAAAGAATAGAAAGACAAACTTGAGCTTCTGCCATACACTATTCCATGGTGCTCTTCCACTGCACTTTCCAGCACTCCTTCTCCCTGCGCATTCCTGTGCTCTCTGTTGCACTCCAGTA